TTTATGTCTTAACATTTGAGGATTTGCATGGATATAAAGAGCAGGCAATTCCACGCTCTTTTTTGCTGAACTTGAGTTGACTTCTTCACATTCCCCATATGGCAACCTCGGCGATCAACATGTTCATGGACTCTGAAGCGTGCTGCCAAAGCTTTCCAAACTTAATAATGCATAGGTATGGACTCCATTATGTGACACTTTCTGAGCCAGTCACTGCAAAGATAACATAATTCTAGAGGGGCATTTCTTTCTCCCAGTACACCACCGTGAAGGTCTAGTCCTAGACTATAACCTTTGGGGGCATTCGTGTTTTTTCCCTGCTGTAATATATGGCTAAACTCCTCTTGTCCCCTTCTTACCCTGACGTTGATCAATATTATAGCTTGCTTTGCATCCTCTCGTTTTAAACAAAGAAAGTAACATTGGAAGGCAAATATTGCTGGAGCAGATGACTTCGGTTTATTGCATCTTTTCCTTTAGTGGGCGTGCAAGGCTCAGCTGCTCTAATATTTAACCGAAGCAGATCCCCATTTGCTTATCTGTTTAATCGCTCTTTTATCTAGGCCAGCTGCTGCTGCTAGGTGCTGCAGCCACTCCTAATTGGAAGGAAGTTGCCTTGGTATCCTAATGGTTTAAACCTGCAAGATTGTTATCTAGGACCTGCACCCCAAATTGGCATCTGAAATGGCTCTTTTATAAATAGTATTGCAGTATTTTATCATAAGAGATGATCTTTCAGAATATAATTCTATTTCATCCTTCTACCATTAGGCATTTTATCACATGACTTTTACATAAACTGAAGCTTGATCATTGATTTCATAACCAAAAAATGACTTTGGTTCTGTTTAGCGTTATTTAAAGCCTTTTATATAAATTAGTTATCTTTTTTAACTTATCAAGACAATTTTATACTCAAGGGTAGTTATTCCTTCCATTTAATTATTTGGGTCAGTTTAATGATATATTAATAATTATTAAAGTGAACTGAAAACTATTATATGGTTGAATTCCTGTTAGAGCTCCTGAAAAGATTTGAAATCAAAGCCTCTTTCCAAGTATTAGTTTGTTTTTTGTTTTGTTTTTCCAAAATATTGCTGTAGATCTGAGTGGTGAACACAGCATTGTGCAACTTCCTCCAAAATTTGATCAGCCCAACTGTCTTTTAAGTTTTAATGTTTCATAAAAATAGCATATTAGCCATGATGACAAAAAACCTTCAAAAGCTTTCCTGGTAATTACTTTTCTGTGGCTCCTTTTGAGACAAATGATCTGAATGGGCATTGATTTGTTTAGTCTTAAGAAATAGAACTTCAGACAAGAGACAAAGCAGATTGTGTAATAATGTATGCATCGAGAGCCGCTTGTATTGGAAAACAAATATAATAGGACTGAAGTTTATGTATACAAAATTAATGAGGGCTTCCCTAGTGGTGCAGTGGTTGAGAGTCCGCCTGCCGATGCAGGGGACACGGGTTCATGCCCCAGTCCGGGAAGATCCCACATGCCGCGGAGTGGCTAGGCCCATGAGCCGTGGCCGCTGAGCCTGCGCGTCCCGAGCCTATGCTCCGCAACGGAAGAGGCCACAACAGTGAGAGGCCCACGTACCGCAAAAAGAAAAAAAAAAAAAATTAATGATGTGATATGAGTCTAAAGTCTCAGTGAAAATCATTTGTCTTACACAAATATGCCTACCGACCCTATTCCGGCTTTGAAGATAGAGTTCTGCTCAGGCTCCAAGCACCTCAGTAACAGCACTTCTCTGAATTACGTTGAACCAGTTGGGACATGATGAAAGAACTCAAGGTGTAAATACCTTGAGGGCCTGTGAGTCACCACCTAGAAAGGTTCTTGAAAGGGTAAGAACACTTTATAGTTTGATCAATAGGAGCCTGAGAAATCGGCTGCAGGGTAAAGACAAGGTGAGGATTAAAAACTTTTGGAAACTTGAAGAATTGAATTACCATCCTAAGGAAGTTCCCAGGAGACAAAGAGAGAGAGAGAAAAGAGAGAGAGACCTTTTCATCAGATCTCAACCAGCAAGCTTTCTATTTGGTCAGAATTCAGCCAAACTAAATTTGACAATCATCAGCCCTTATTATTCTAGTCCTGATGCAGCACTGTGACACACAAAGAGTTTTTTAGAGATCCAGGTGCCCACCAGTGTAGTTTTGGGCATATATCAAGAGGAAATGAAGGATAGTGTTGTTCAAAATCAGAGCAACTTTTCCATGGAATACTTCATCAGAAGAGGTTGTTATTCTGTTTTCCCAGCCAAAATGGAATTTTACTTTGGAAATGTATGAAACAGGGTTGCAGTTGGGTTTTCTGCTCTCTCATCACTGTTAGCTCCACGAAAGTTTTAAGTTGTTGCATCAATATGGTTATCAGAATTTAGATTGTGTTTGTAAAGGGGACAATCAATCTGATGGTACGGCCCCTGGAACAAGTACAAAAGTATAAATAAAGGAGCCTGGCTAAGAATTTCTGAACTCGGAACAGATTCTAAGAGTTATTTCTAGTCCTTTGGCTTTTGTCCTATCCTCAGAATATTTACAGAACCTTGCCATGAAATATGAGGAAATAAAAGCTCAGACTTTCAAGAGCCATTATTTATTGCTCTGCCCAGCATGAGCAGATCACAGTGTGAACCGCTTGATGCCAAGTCCATGGAAGAAATAGGCCTCTTTCCTGGGTGGCAGTGAAGGTGGGGGAATGTGGTGGTCCTGAGGACAGGGAGTAGTGGCAAGGAAAGGGTAAGCCCCAATTAAGGACTCAGGTCCTCAGAGTTGGAGTTGCACCCAGCACAAAGCCCATTTTCCATTTTCCTATTTGGGTTACACAGAGGAGGCTTTGTGAAGAGCAGGTACATCCAATAAGAATTATGAGGAAAGCTGAGTCGCTTGATGAGATGCAAAGAAAGAAAGCAGAAGACAACAGCCAGTGGGAGAAATGAAGGAGAGAGTGTTGGGTAAGGTGGTCAGCCGAGTCTAGTTTATTCCTCACTTTGCCAGTTGCATTCATGCCTCTTGTGTTCCATGGTCAGTGCTCACTCATGCCGGGACCTGGCCGGCTTGCACTAAGCAACAACATAAGAAGGGCCTGTAAATGAGGGGCTTCTGTTCCCAGATCTGTTTTCTGGGTAAAGAGGTGCAAGTATCTGCATAGCTAGATCATCACCTTAGATACCATGGTTTCCTCTTCCTGAGGAAACCCAGAGCACTCCTGGAACGTGGTGTGCCAACTACTGCTACATGGGCTATCGTAGGTTTTATGCCAAAAATAAAATACATTTAAAGCATATTATAACAGACCTACTTCACCAGGACATAAAAACACTTCTCTGCAGAGTCAGGAAAAAAAATACTTCTGAATTAAAATTAAGGTGCACACTCATTTTTAAACACTGACCATGAAAGATCTGAGGTTTTCCCATTTTAGAGGTCATCGGGAAATATCAAAGCTTTCCTGAATCTCCTTGGATGGAAAACTTAAACTCCCCTCCTGTTTGGTGCTTCTTGTAGATTGTGACTCCCAGTTCAGGCTCTTTCTCTAACTCAACAGTAGAAGAAGAAAGTAGTGTAGGGCTTTTCTGGCATATAGGTCTTTCTGGTCAAATCTGCGGAACAGGTATCACAACTGTTCCGTTAGGAACCCAAGTTCACCTAACCTGGGTTCTAAGTCTGGGCACAGCATCCAGCAGAACGGTACTTTCATAGATTCTCTCCCCAATCCAGTTCTCTTAGGCAGTCTTTCTTCTGCAACTTTGCATATTTCTAGCAGAGAGGGAAAGGAAAATACCTTTCTGTCCTTTGTAAAGGCCAACTTCAGACCTGGTAAAAATGACTTCATAGAAGGCAGTTATGTATGAAAGTTAGTATGTTAGGGTTGAAATTGACAAAGAAATGCAGGCTTTGCTTTTCTCCAGAAAAAAAACAAAAAGCCCCAAAAACCTCCTGTTCCATGCCCCAGGCAGTCTTCCTGTGTCAAACAATCTGTGACAGCTAGTAAGGTGTTCTGGTACTTTTCCCCTGGAACTCTGGTTGTGAGGCTTTTTGGAACCTCTATAAGAGGTTCATTTAGGCTGACAGAGCTGCCCTTTCTCTCCTGATATTTCCGTCAGTGTCTTCTCTTCTCAGATCCTTCTCCAGAGGATCATTCTGGTTGAGAAAAGTATAGGCATAGGCGCAAATGATGAGTTGTTTTCCTTCACAGTCTGGAGAAATTGTAACATGCATAGGTGCTCCTGGATATGGGGAAAGGAAGCAAAATAATAACCACCAGCATTTTCCACATGCAGTGTGTGCCTTTCCTTTCAGAGATACCCTTTGCCCTCTGCCATGTTACTTACCTGAAGATCTCAGGGCCCTTCCTGGCTGTTAGTCATTTTCAGGAACTGAAATGTAATGGAGATTGTTGTTTCTATTTACAGACAGGTACACTGAGATGAAAGGAAAATTAGCATTAGGATTGAATCCTGTCCTTTTTAAATTTCCATCTTTAAATTAAACTGTATTCCCCCCAAATTAAAACCAAAAGCAATAGCCCCTTAATGCAGAAAAATTCATGTGCAAATTGTATGTGTTAAGTTTGCAATTGTTGTAGTCAGTGTACTACGTTTGTAAATTATTTGTGTTTAACCCTTAAAACTGGGTGTGTTGAAAGAAAGGTTCCCATCTAGCTTTCTCTTTTGCACATAAACTTAGTGCAAGTCCCTGTTTCAAGGAGCTTTATGTGGTTGGATTGAAATTGCTTAATAAACAATTGAAAAAGTTAAGCATAACCTAGAAGTCATTTAGTACTATGAGTCACTTTCCTGACAAGCCAATAAGGCAAGAGAACCCGGTTGCAAAACAATTACTAGCCCTGCCTGAGGGACCCTGGAAATATATTACAGATATGTTAGGAAAACAAAGCAGTAGCGTTTTACCACGCTGCAGAGAACAAGGTTGCTAACCAAACAAAATAACTGACAATGCCAATTTTTACATTTGTTTCAGAACAAGGGACGCTCAAACCATCCGAGGTAAGGTTAATGTTTACATTTTTTTTGTATAACTTTTGCATTTCAAATTGTTCGCTAACTTAAGCAGGCTCGAACTCCTAGAATGTTAAATGTGCCTTTTAAAATGGATAGAAAACAGAGCTAGAGTGAGCAATCAAGTGCTTGTGAGTGAAATGCACAGGATAAATCAGAGGAACTTTCAGATACCATCTGAAGATCTTAGGTAGAGGAAAAATGTGAGTATTTCATCTAAGAATGTGTGTGAGATGGGACATTTCAGTCTTAGGTACTCACTTATTCAGGTAAATTTCAAATAAATATTGTAGCAATGTTGTGGCACTAATATGGGGGTACATTTCCCTAGTTCCCAGCTACAGAATTCCACAAACCCTGAGGCTTATAAAACTTGATACATAACCAAATCAACATAAATTCACTTTTATAAAATTTGTAAATCAAATAAATGACGCACTACATCGCTTTCAGTCTCTCAACTGTAAGTTCAAGCTGACTTCCTGCCTGGTTATACCATCTAAAGTTGTTCCAGCAAATGTGTTTTCCTATTTGTTACTTTAATGTTTTAATTAAAATTTAAAAGTAATTAAAAATAAAAACTTAAAGCATCTGAAGGCATTCTCTTGGAATGAATCTCTGATCCTGCTAGGACAGACAGAAGGAAGGGTGGCCCTCATCCCAGGAAGTCAGTAGACCTGTCCTCTATCATGAAACAGTGTCACTGCCCAACATTCGCTAGTACTAAAATGTTCTAAGGTTCTTCATCTAAGGATGTGGTTACTTGTTTCTGCCAGTTTTCCATTTGAGCACAAATGTGATTCATTCATGTCTTATTGATGAAATCAAAATCTGATAACATATCCTTTTGGTTTCACACAGAGTCTGAGGTCTAATGGCTTAGAAGTACGAGATCCCTGTCACCTCTCAGAATAAAGCTCTTGAGCTATGGGAACATATGTATATGTATAACTGATTCACTTTGTTATAAAGCAGAAGCTAACATACCACTGTAAAGCAATTATACTCTAATAAAGATGTAAAAAAAAAAGAATAAAGCTCTTTTAAGAAAGTATGAAAGAATGAAAAATATAGCAGATTACAGGCAACCAGTACCTTGGGCGTCAACCAAAAATAATACGTTTCTTACCTGACCACCAAAAAATATCATAGCAAAGAAAATTAAAATGTAAAATGTCTGTGATTAGTTATATGAACCAGAAATATAGTAATCTGAGAATTTCAGAATAAAAGAATGACAAAAAGCATTCTATGTCAAATTATTTTAGCACATGACAATTATATCTCATTAAGAGTAGTATAGTATTAGTATGTTTTTAATAGGCTGGCATTTATATAGTTGGTAAAAATAATGAAAAGCACAGCAAGATGTCAAACAAGAGGTAACTGTTTTTACTTTTTTGTATAGGCATATAATTTGTACATACAGGGTATCAAGAATGTGATGTGAGGAAATTCACATGCACCCTTAAAGTGTTATCAGTTGACTATATTTTAGGCTTTAGAATCTAGCTCAAGGAATGCATAACAGGATAATAGTATTTAAAAAATAGGTCATGTGAGTTCTGCTAGGGCTAAAATAAATTAACATAAACTTGTTTTTAGTGTTTAGTCAATAGGTAAGATTTTTCATCAGGACTGTAAGGATTCTTCCAGCAGTGTCAATGAAGATCTTGGAAAGAAGCCTTCTTTCTCTTACTCTCACACTGTTATTAGATAATTGAGACAGATTTCCTCGTAGAGCTTTGAACTTTAACTCAATATTACTTTACCTTTACCCCCTTAGATAAGGGTATACATGTATCCCCCCACCCCGGCCCTGGGCAAGATGATTTCACTTGATTTTATTTAAGCAATGAGAAATGGGCGTATTTACAGACAGAAAGTGTGCTAATAAGAAGTGGTTAATAATTTTCACACTGATACAAAATTATGATACAAAATAATTCTCTCCAGACATTTTATACTCTTAAAAATTACACGTAAGCCTATTCTGAAAGTAATTAATTTTCACATTGATTTTTTTTTAAATGCAGCATCAGTATTTTAGTGACTTGCTTCAGTGACTTGCTTAACTTTTGATTATACAAAGTGTAATTTTTATTTAATGTGTGATTCTGCTAATAATCTCTACTTTGGATGGATAATTATAGTAAAATCTTATACTGGCCAACCTATTTGGAAACTTTAGCTTAGCATAAGGGACAAGTATAGCAAAAGAATGTTAAGAAACATCTTTCACTCCATACCTCCCCACTAAGACTTTGTGGAAGGTATATTCACTCTCTGAGGCAGATGCTTATATGATGTTTAGGAGTCTTCCCAGAAGTACCAATGAAGACCTTTTGTAAGCTCTGTGATTTTTTTCCCCCCTCTCTTGGAGGTCTTCTTTTTCTCCATGTACCAATTCGTAGTCCTCTTCTGTTCCCCTTTCAATGGCCATGATTGTGAATTTTTAATTTCACACTTCATTCTCAAGGTAGGTCAGTTCTCAATAGCCACAGGATCGCCCTGGGCCTCCCTAACCTGGGATGTTCATCTTGCCTCCCATTCTGGAGTGGACCTTCAGAAGCCACTTCTAGCTCCAGGAAGCAAGGTTATCATCACATATCTATTTAATATATAGCTACTTCAAAACTATTCCTTAACGTAGGTTTTTCTGCTTTTAAAATAGGTAGAGGAACCAAAGCCAGTTTCATATAGCAAATGAAACTTTGCTCGTTGTGTTGGTAAAGTCAACAGAGAGAATTAGGTTTCTCCTAAAAGAGGCAAGAAGAGAGATTCTTGGACGATAAAGGCATTTCTTTTAGAGAAAGACAAGGTAATAGGTAATGAAGCAAGAAATAAAATCAGGTTGTTTGGTTGTCGCCACCCGCCCATCCCCTACTTCTCGGTAGATCAAAGAAGTTGAGACTGTGCTGAAGACTGATTGTCCGATCTCGTGGGGCTATAACTGAGAGCTCCCAGGGGTGGCAACTGGATGTGCCCTCTTCTCCCTGCTAGGGACAGCATCTTAATAAAGGCATTTCTTTTAGAGAAAGACAAGGTAATAGGTAATGAAGCAAGAAATAAAATCAGGTTGTTTGGTTGTCGCCACTCGCACATCCCCTACTTCTCGGTAGATCAAAGAAGTTGAGACTGTGCTGAAGACTGATTGTCCGATCTCGTGGGGCTGTAACTGAGAGCTCCCAGGGGTGGCAACTGGATGTGCCCTCTTCTCCCTGCTAGGGACAGCATCTTGTCCAGCTCTATCGCAGGCTTTTGAGAATATAGGTGGGGGAGTGGAGTATGTTGGATAAGGTATGATAGAATAACAGTTGAAATTTACACTTTAACATTGTTTAAATATGTTCTGCTAAACATTTCCAAATTTTTTACAATATAAAATACTTTTTAGGTGCTTTAAAGGTATAATAAATCTCAAGCTCTCCAATGTACTTGGTCTAAGTAGCTTCTCTCTTTTTTAAAATGCACCAGATCATAGTTTGTTCCACTGTCTACTCTTCCTGTAGAAATGTTTGTTTTCAGGGTCACTGATTTGCAATGACTTTCAGGAGGAAAAACCTAAAATATAAATAGTAGGGGTAATACTTTAGTAGCAAAATTTATCATTTACCTGAGTTTAAACATTCAAAATATCACGAAATGAATAATAATGACGATTATATCAATAATAATAATAATAAGCTATCACTTAATAATCCTCACTATGTGTCAGGAACTGTTCCAAGCATTTAACATAAATTAACTCATTTAACTCTCACCACAAATGCTATGAAATAGGTGCTATTATTATCCCCATTTTATAGATGAAAAAACAGGCAAAGAGACTTCAACTGATTTGCTCCCAATCAAACAGGTGTCGAGTGACAGGGAGGGTCTGAATTTGAATTTATGCAGTCAGATCATAGAATCCATACTCTTAATAATTGCACCATGTTCCCTATTTTAATCCTAACTTCAGGGTCATATAGAGTTGCTCTTGAACTGAAATTCCCTTTTACACTTTCTAAGTTAATAGTTTTAAAATAGTACTAGTTTAGGGCTAGTAGGAATAAGACCCAAAGTTTGAATTCTTTCTTGCCTTCCAAGCACTTTGATAGTAAGAGGAGTTAGAGTAGTAGAAAAACAGCTCCTGTTGTACATTAAGAAGGTGGAGGAAAATGCAGGAGGTAAATAGCCACAAGACATCCATCATTATATATTTTCCTGTTGAAAATATTGTCATTTATGTAGAGAGCTCTAAAAATTTTATAAAGTTTTAGACAGAAAAGGTTTCTTTTTTGAAAGCAGTTTTCTTCCGAGTTATTGGATATGAACCTATAACTCATCATGCTTCCCTGTTTTGTGCTTGGCTGTTAAGAAACCCAGTGTGATATTTTCTTCTCCTCACTCACAGCGCTCTCTTTATACTAGGGTTTTTTTTTTTTTTTCAGTATAGCCATCCACCTTGTTCAGTATAGCTTCAATGCTGATTTAATGATCATATTAGGCCTTCACAAATCCATTTTAAAAGTAGTTGGGTTCAAAACAAAATTTATATTTTTAATAATTCTCCAATTTGCTTTTACCTGAGAACACTGACATCTGCTTTGAGGCCCCATTTAACTTATGAATAAAAACAACAGGAAGAACCCTAAGAAAAACCCATGGCTAATGTGTGCTTGGCAAAGCCAAGTCTGCTCTGAATGAAACCGAGTCTCCACACACAGGCACAAACCCCAACACATGTAGAAAGAAAATTTCTTTTGTGAATATCTGAGTTATATGGTAGTAACAGACTGAGCATTTCATCCAGTTATATAACAAAAAGTGAAAATCAAGTTCTTATTAATTAGTCCGATTACCATAGTTATTAGGTAGGAATTAATTTAATGCTTGTGAAATCGAATGTGTAAACAGGCATTTTCAAAGATTTAAAACCTCTTTTGTTTTGCATCTTATCTATAATTTTTGTAATGCACAATTTTTCTTATGGATTCCTTTTCTATAATAAGAATTTACTTTCATGGTTCACAAGCTGCATGGCTGTTTTGTTTCTTAAAATATTCAGATATCACTGATCCATAATTAAAACACCATTCTCATTTAAGTGTTTGCTAAAGTCAGAGCTTGAGATCTTTGTTTGGAGGTTGTATAATTTCTCCAGTCCCTGTCTTTCGGACTGACTTTCTCCAGGTCTGTCAGGCCTCAAAAATAGCTGCGTTAGAGTTTTGGAGATCAAAACTCTTTGTTGGGAGCATTTTCTAAGCAAAAATGGCTGCCTGGGCTTTGTTTTCATAATTCCTATAGTCATTATGACTTAAAAAAATGAGTTATAATCCCCAGAGATGGTGAATGAAAAGATATTTCTTTCCCATAGTGTTATATCAATGATTTACCAAATGCAGTATTGTTCAAGTGGAAGACTTATTAGAGAAACAAAAATTATAAAAAGAAACCTTGGAACCAAGTGTTTTGATCAAATTTAGTCATACTTTAAAAAAAAAAGTTTTTTTTGGAGTGTAGTTGATTTGCAATGTTGTGTTAGTTTCTGCTGTACAGCAAAGTGAATCAGTTATACATATACACATATCCGCTCTTTTTTATATTCTTTTCCCATGCAAGTCATTACAGAGTATTAAGCAGAGTTCCCTGTGCTATGCAGTAGGTCCTTGTTGGTTATCTATTTTAAATGTCGTAGTGTTAAATGGAAAAAATGCAACATTCATTGGACTTCCAAAGTGTCACAAAATAATACAGTGTGATAACACGAAATCTTTGTTGTTCTTTGTTTTACCTTTCTGTACAGAAACGGGCCAATGGACTCCGAAGAACCCCCAGACAGGTGGATCCAGGTGTGTGATTAAACATCTATAATCATTTTTTCAGTTAAGTGATTATGAAAGTATATGGGAATTGCTGTAGAAAGTCAGACAGATTGTTGGCCTGTGTTCCTCCCAGTTTGTTATATAATGTGTGACCAGGAGGTGACCGTCTACTGTGTAAATCATTTACCTTGGACAGGGTCATGTGATGAGTAACCATCAGTACCACAGTCTTTCCGCAATCAGCAGTTGAGCTGGTTATTTGCTTACTGAACAGCCTCAGGGTGCCTGGTTAATGCTAACATATCCAACACCCTTTCCCTGCTCCCTCCCAAACCTGGAAAAAATCAATCAGCACTTAAAAAATCAGCATGTTCTGAGGGGGTGGGGGGGAGGTCATAAACCAGACAACTTTGGCACCCTCCCCATTTGGGAAAATACTTTTCTTTATCCTATATCTATATTATTTTATAATACAAGAATGAGTTTAAGGACTTTGTGAACAAGTGTCCTCTCCAGAGACCAATTCTTTGTCTGCAGAGAGTGTTCAGTTGTTTCCTGTTTAATATCATGAGGTTGACCCTGTCATTATTTTCATATAATTATTTTTCGTCCATTAAGCAATGCCTTCCATAGTTTTAATTACCAAAAATTTGTTGTGTATATGGTCATATTATTGTGAGTAAAAGATATTCATGGCTAAAGGATTCCAAATATATGAACGTAATAATAAATCAAGTAGAACATGAAATATAGAGTAGTCTTGCTGGAAAAGAATCTGGATTATGTGTTTTGTTTTCTCATCGTAAACAGTGTTCACCTAGTTGTAAAGTTTAGCTTTCAAAGCATTATAGCTTTTCACTGAAACCACACCCCTGGTAGCCATGCCAGTTTATGAGCTGTTTGAAAAGATTTATGGGAGCTTTGTTGCCTCTGGCTAGAAATTGCCTCACTTGTGTCCTGAGATCAGTTTAAATCTTTTAAGTACAGAACAAAATTAAGGCCATTAAAAAAATTAGGGGTTCTGGTTTACTTTTTTATTGGTTCTGACTTTCCCAAGACGATACCCTTTGCAGAAAACTCTACAATAATATTTAAAAGTGACTTCTTCTGTTTTATTTAGTAGGAGTGTATGACTGTGAACATAATATTTTTTCTTTATTTTGTATGAGTTATAGTATTTCTGTTTCTGAAAATTACCTAAACTTTATAAATATTATTTTCTCTTTCTTCTATGGGCATTTTCATTTAATCTATTTTCCCCCAAGGAAATGCATTTCTATATATACAGTGTGTCAGTAGGAACACATTTGACTTTTAACTATGTACATTATAGCCAGAATTTTTAGGAGCCCTTAGATTATTTAAAGGGAGGTATAATGAATTCACAGATTATAAATATGGCAAAGTAGACCAATAGTAAAATAGTTTATCTTCCTTTATCCCAAAGGTGATGGCTTTCTATAGGTATTGCTCTTCTGGTATTTATATTTGTCCAAAGTTTTTAGAACTTCATGAAGAATAAACTTACAAATACAAAAGAAGTAGTGCCATATGTTATGTTTGGGGAAAAAAAAATATATGTATTACATATAATATACATAGCTGTATATATATATATATATATATATATATATATATACACACACACACACACACACACACACACATAGCTTTCCATTAGCTATAGTAAATACATATGTGTTTTCTCATTCTTCCACACTTTTGAAAAGAAAGCAAATAGTTGATGATCTTGCCTGTTGTAGATCCTAATGTAATAATCATTTCTCCCTGTAGAGTGTCTTTTGACGTTAGGCTTGAATTATGTGCTTAGAGTTGGTTGTCTTTTTTATCTTTGCTTATTTCTGTTTATTACTTTCTCTTGGCAAGTTGCAAAGCTTTTTTGCTCAAAGTTAACCCTAGCTTGATGACTGACTGTTGTACTCTGAGTTGATCTTGATGTAACTATTGTTAAGATTTTCACAGTTGTGTGGGAGAAGTTCCACTCCAGGATATTTAAACAAGGGATCAATAAAACTGAGACCTCCTAAGCATGGACAGACTGCTTCCAAGGAGCATTATTTGCTATCAGTGTTTTTACTATGAAAGGTCCTTTAATCTTTTCTCTTTTAGCTATTTTAGTTGTCTTTTCCAAGTGTTAACACACTGACTACTTTCCAGGGCCTCACTTAGAGTGGCTTGTAGAAAAAAAGTGATTAAAGAATTTGGGAGGTCAGATGTAACCACTTCACCAGGTCCAAATTTCAGAGCCATGTCCAAAGTAAATTACATATCTTCTCCGTAGACCTTTTGTTCTGGAAAGGAACTTAATGCATAGTTCTTTGGGTAGTAGTGTTACTGAACCAAACTTAGGTCCACTCATCCTCGGGCAGTAAAGCCAATCTACTGACACCAGGTTGTGGTGAAGGAAAGTACAGCATTTATTGCAGGGCACCAAGGGAGGAGAATGGGCAGCTCATGCTCAAAAGACTTTCAGGGACGGGGTATTAAAGGCAGTGTGAGGGAGGGAACTACAAGGTGTGTAATCAGCTCTTGCACAATTCTTGGATTGGTTGACATCAGGGTGAACTTTCAAGCATCATCAGCCTTCTGGTGTCAACCAGTCTAGGTTGTACGTTTTTGTGATCAGCAGTTTTCATCTGGAGGGGGTCTGCTCCCTGTAAAAACAACTTAAGAATGTGTGTCAGGACTTTTTCTGTATCTTTCAGGGAACTGTGAGTTCTGTGATTCTGCCATGTGGCGGATTTATAGTCTAAATTGTTACCAGTTCCCCAGCCCAACAGCTATTCTTTGTTTCTCCACCATCTTCACATTTCCCAATCATTAACTCTTGAGCCAGCCTTTTGAGACTCAAGGGAGGCCTGGGAAATTAAAGCAAAAGCCTTTTACTTCAGAGGACAAGGACACAGGGGCTTGCATACGGTTTCAGTTGGTGCTTAATAAATATTTGTTAAATGAATTAATGAATGGCTATATACTTCTTCTGCATGCACTGGCTCTCTTGCTTTTTAAACTCCTCCTGCTGATAAAGTGGACCAGTATACTCAAGGAATATGGAATAGTCCAATAGTGGAAGGCATGGCTCTGAGCCACATTGCCTAGGCTGAGGACCCAACTTAGCTGTTTACTTGCTGTTGACCTTTGGCAATTTGCTTCCTCTCTGTAGTTTCCTCATTTGTAAAAGGAGATTAATAATAGTAGCTACCTTACAAAGTTGTTTTGAGCATTGCATGAGTTAATACATGAAAAGTACTTATAACAGTGCCAAGTATGTAATAAATGCTAAGAGGTGGCAATTATTATAATAATTACTTTGTGGTAGAGCATGTTAAATATTGGACGTTTTGTCATGTGTAGGAGAATCAAAAGTATTTGCCAATTATTTCTTTGCAAAGAAACTCAGAATTTTATGTTGAATTCTAGGTGAAACTAGAAGTTACATTATCACAGTCATTTTCAGATTTGCTGTTGTTCCCTACTTACCTGATGACTTCCAATGTATTTTGCTTATCTTTAAGAAGAGACACAATCAACAGTGGTGGTTGAGAGTTTTTTGGTGAAGTGAGTAGTGTTTGTGATTGCAATAAAGAAACAAAGAAAGAAAAACTCCCAAGGTTAAAAGCAAATATTGTGGAGTTCAGTTCAAACCACGAAAGATGTGAGGTTTACATTGTGCCTTATTTGCATATTTAAAACTTTTACTTTTTATTAATAATTGTAGTTAATCTTTATAGATACTATTTACAAATGGCTTTGCAGTTTAGTTGACTTTTTCTTGTCTTCTATTATGTGCTAAGAAATTTATCAATTTATGATCTTGACTGCTTTTATGAATATAGTAATAGTAATGTGTTAGATGCAAATTCTGGTAGCTCTTTTGGATTTTTTAAATATAGCAGGGTATTTTCATCAGTTTGTACTTTTCTTCCTGAGGCAGATGTTGGTTTCAGGAAAATAACACTTATAAGAGACAGATCAATTATTTCAGGAACACAGAGGTGCTAGGCCTTTTTCAAGAACATGAGATCATAAATCTCAAGAAAATCTGAGCACTGGTGTAATATATTTCACCTAAAGTGGAACCCAAGGTCAAAGTTACCAATTAAATTTTAATACTGAGCTTTAAAAGTTTTCTTCTGTCTGAGTAGAGAAGATACAAGATTTATTTTAGCTTGCATGTGGCAAATCTATATACCAGCATATGTGTTCTTTTAATCAACCCTGTGTTTTTAGACTATTGCAAAATTATCTCATATTTGTGGAACTCATAGCATCTCGTATTTAAGTCCACAGTCACTAGCTTTTAAAAAATCCAGGCCGTTGTTCTGTGTTGCACTACCTAAAGATTAGATGGAGTAGATGGGAAATGTTTAGGTACCTCATTTTCCTTCTGATCTTACGTTACTCATGTGATTTGTGATAACCTTGAATAGTAAGTGAACAGAGTTCTTTCTGAGAGCTCTTGCGTCACATGTGTTCATTTTTAAACTCTTGATTACGCAGAGAAAAATGTGGCTTAGAAACTGTTTTTTCTTGTTCACCGAGGAGATGTCTTACTGTTTCTTAGAAGAGACATCTTCAAAGATGGTCACTTTCTCTTTCAGGTGGATAGGATTGGTAAATAATGCCATTCCTATCTGTTCCTGTATGAAGAAAGGAATTCAAGACATCTTTTATTCATTACCAACTTCGTATCTTATACAACAATAAGCACCAGCAAAGTCATTAATTATAAAACATGGCCCCCCTCCACAGTTTATATTCTGCCTAAGGAAGGAGTAGATACAGGCACAAAGTCTTGATTGCATACATGCATGTAGATGAGTATGCATATAAAATATTTTAATATTCTATTTTATACTCTGATTCATTACAGTATGGCATAGTGGCATAAAAATAATTAGGGAATAGTCTGGTAAACATATAAAAAGGTCTAATTATGTAATTAGTGCAAAACAAAAGGAATTGGAAAAGAGAGAAGCAAATGTAGGCTAAGATTGCTTTTAAGC